TGAATGTACCTTTTTATGGCATCCTATTCTTGTTTCATGGATATATTTACATTCTTTTATCTCCCAGAGGAAGTTATCCTTTTTGTTTTGGTCTCCATCTTTCCTGATTTCATGATAGAGGCTTTCCTCTGGCATCTGATGGCTCTTGGTTGTCTTCTCATGTTTAAGAGCGGGGCAGTAACGAGCTGATGGGAAAGGATGGGTTTGTCACCTCCGGGCTTCACTGTAGGGTGATCTAGCTGGGCTGTTTTACTGGGGAGCCCCAAGGTTACTATCTTCAGTTCCTTCATCTTGGGGTGGCTAAATAGCCCAGGGAAAGGTCTTCAGTCTGATGCCTGAGACCGAGAACTGATTGGGGCCAAGAGGGCCCAGAGTGGTCCACATTCAACAGGTAAATATTCATTTAATATTCGTGTTTTCAGTGTGGGTCCTGGCGTCCCCCAGTTGAGGCACCCTTTGTTTCATCATCTCCAAAGAACAAACTTCTTCTGGGATGGAGGAAGGCATGTGGAGCTCTAACTGCCTCTTAAACTTTCAACCACATCTCCTTACTCACCCCCTTTCCCACTGCTGATTCTACACCACGTGTGAGCTCTGCAGTGGACTTCGGGTGGCATGCAGCGCTCCCTGTCGCCCCAGCTCTCTTGGGTCTGAGACATCAGTTCCTGCACAGCTATCACAATTTTGTTCCTGTTATCGCTTCTATTATTTTTGTCCTTGGGAATTTTTGCTTTTTATAAAATCATTTACTGTCATTTTAGTGGGGTTTCAGGAGGGAGAGAAAGTAAATGCATGTGTTTAATCTTTCACCTTCACTTCCAAGTCAACAGGATATGGAGAAAATCTGGCAGAGCCACTGAGTGAAACAGAAGGGGCCTGGCTGGAAGTATGTGGTAGGATTGTGGTACTCATGAGACCGCTTGTTTGGAGCCCATGAATCCCTGGGGATGCCAGTCTCCACACTTAGGTGGTTTTCTCCAGGCTGCAAGGGAGAGCAGAGAAGTCAAATGGCAATTCTGTTCCAAGTCAGAGGCTTCATAGGCTGAATATAAAGGAAAAACAAGGGAATAGATTACGTCAGTGCGGTTAGATGGAACAGGCCGAGCAAAATGCCTACCAAGACGCTGCTCCCAGCTGCAGGAGCACCGCTAGCTGGAGACTTGCAGAGGGATGGCACCTTACTCTGTGCCGATGGCGTCAGTTTTTGGGGAGGGCTCTCTTCCTGGTTTGCAGACAGCTGCCTTCTCGCTGTGTTCTCTCATGGGGGTGGGAGTCAGCCCTGACCTTCTGGCCTCATTTAACTTCCTTACTTCTTCAGAGGCCCTGTCTCCCAGTGTTGCTATACTGGGGTCAGGGCTTTGACATACGGATTTGGGGCAAAACATACATTCAGCCCATAACAGTTGGCCATGCTGTGTGTCACATAGCCTGCACCAGCCTTGGCCTCAGTTGCTTGGACCAGGAGCCAGTACCTGGCCAAGAATAGCCTGTCTATAGGCTGATTGGTTGCCTATGAAGTTACCTGGCACACAGGCTCTGCCCAAATAAGGGTGGTGAGTATTTGGGCAGATAAGCCTCTGTCTCTTAGAATTTGAACTGCAGTTGAAGAGATTAGAAGCCAGAAGACATGCGCAGAAAAAGCGATGTGTATTTGTCATGGGGCAGCAGAAGGCAAGGGGAGGCAGAGACTAGGATTAAGCAGCAGCCAAGAGATGAAGGAAAGATGGATGCAGAGTGGAGGGTGAGGTGGCTGGTGGGTGGTGCCAGGCGCAGCGGGGCTGAGTCACCGTGATAGCAGATGAGGGTGGGAGGTTGTGGTGTGGGCAAGATACTCTGGTCCCTACTGCTGCTTAAAACCCTCCTGGCTCCAGGCTCCCCGAAGCTCTGGCGAATGATGCTGCCTGGGTTCCTGTGCACACGGCTGAGGTCACTGCCTTCCTCACACCTGCACGAACCCTCAGTGGAGAAACTTGAGCAGGTTGAAGAGATACACTCTGGGGCCTCGGCAGGGTCTGGCAGAGAGAAAGGCCAAGTGGGAGCTGATGGGTTGGGTGTAGTGAAGGACCCAAAAGCTCTGTGAGGTCAAATTACATGGGTGGTGGAGGGAGGAAGTTGGAGAACCAGAGGGGACAGGTTGGAGGCTGGGCCCAGAGCATGCATTTGGGATTCAACGTGGCAGAGCAGCTGTGAGGGGGAAGGCTGAGGTGAGGTCAACGGGGTCTTTGGAGATAAAAAGGTCAAAAAACTAAGAGGTTGGGATGTTGTCTGGGTGAGGGGAAGAGTGTGAGCATTGGTGCCAAGGCACAGAGATAGCACACAACAGGCAGCAGACGCTGCTCCACTTCCTGACCCAGAGGTAGGGAGCCCTGACCCTGGAGAAGCTATGAGGACGGTGGCCGCAGGCTTCAGTTGGCATTCAGGGAATAGTCTGGGTTTGTCAACTGTGGAACAGGGTATCCGCAGAACTTTGTGGAATTTCTAATTGAGTGGGACAGAGGGTGAGCACGTGGGCTCTGGGCTGAGACTGCCACACTGGAGACCTGGTTCTGCTTCTGAGCAGCTGCAGGGCAAGCACTCCTCTTTGTGCCTCAGTTTCTTCCTCTGCAAAACTGGAGATAACAATGGGATCTACCTCCTGTGGCTACTAGGTGATCCGAGGCCCTGAATTGTTGAGGAGGAGGGAAGATGTATTAGTGATCTATTGCTGTGTAACAAATCACCCCAAAACACAGTGATTTCCAATGAGGGTAACTGTTTATTATCACATGGCGTCTGCGGGTCAGGATTCAGGAGTGGCTTAGTTGGATGGTTCTAGCTCCAAGTCTCTTGTTAGGTTGCAGTTGAGATTTTGGCCATGTGAAGACTTGCTGGGGCTGGAAGATCCATTTTCAAAATGGCACCCTTGTGGTTGTTGGCAGGAAGCCTTGGCTCCTCTCTACGTGAGCCGCTCCAGGGGACTGCGGATTTCCCCTCCCAGACACAGCGATCCAAGGGAGAGAACAAGGAGGAAGCAGGGGTGCCTCTATGGCCTGGTCTCCAAAGTTGCAGTTGTCACTTCTGCTTTTTTCTATCCATTAGAAGTGAGCTCCCAAGTCCAGCCCATATTTAAGGGAAGGGAGATTAGGCGCCAGGACCTGCCCGAGACAGAGGTAGCAAAGAACTTGTAGACCTGCGTGAAAACCACCAGAGCAGAGATATTGATTAACCGTAGACTTTGTTAAGAACGCATGTTAAAATAGCTAGAGGAACTACTAAAAAATTCATAGAGTGCTTCTAAACAAATGAAGGGAAAACGAAACAAGAAAACAAATTCAATCCAGCTCAAAGTTGACCAAGAACACAGGGTCTGCCTGGGCCTGTTGACTGCCATCAGCGTGCGCTCCCACCTCCTGCTGCCAGGCTGGCCTCCGCGCTGCCCTCGGGCGCTGCATGGGCTGCACGACTGAAGGGGAGCCTCCTCTCGCTTGGGCACCAAGTGTCCGGCCTCCACTTCCTGATTGTTGGGGGCACTTGTGGCAGCAACAGTGTCCTGCTCCCAACTTGCTGATTCCTAGGTCGTGGCTACAGTGGCGTCTTCTTGAACTCAAAGGTTACACTTGTGGCCTCCTGATGGTGGCACAGGTAGCAGGTCCCACTGCTCTGGCCCATCTAGCGGCTGTGTAAGCATCCGAGTCCCTGTACAAAGTCCCTTTTTGTTTCTGATCAATAGAGGCCTTCCTGCCTCCTGCCCTGAGCCTTCGCTTATGTAAAGTGGGGGTGGGGGAGAGAAACTGGGGCTGAACGACAAATGGAAAGCACATAATAATTGGCTGAATACATCCCAATAGAGCGGCAGTTGTCACGGATGTGACTGACTCCGTGTGAAAGACGGGTGAAGGCAAGTTTGCAGCATGGCCGAGCAGCCGGGACGCAAATGTTCACAGCAGCTACATCGTCGTCACCGAAAACTGTAAACGACCCGCTGTCCTTCAGCGCATGAATGGCAGAACAGAGTGACACACATGAACCGCGGAGCACTACTCAGCAGTGAAAAGGAACACTACTGACACGCACACGCGCACTCAGCACGGAGGAGCGGCAAAGCTGTGTTGCGGGAAAGACAGACAAGAGAATACACATTGTATGGTTCCATTTGTCATGCATTCTAGAAAAGACAGAAATCGGATCACTGGTGGCCAGGGGCTGGGGGTGGAGGGCGTACTTGGCTGCAAGTGGCCGTGAAGGAACTTGGGAGGTGATGGAAATGTCCTACACTTTGATTTTGGTCGTGGGTACACGACATTTACACTCAAAAGGGCAAATTTTATTGTATATAAATTATACTTCAATAAAGCTGATTTTTTAAAAAGACAAGAATTGTTAGACTGGATCAAACCAAAATCCAGCCATATACTGTTTCCAAGAGCTACACCTAAGCTATGAAGACACAGACAGATTGAAAAGAGAAGAATAGAGAAGGATGTGTCAGGCCCAATGCCCACCCTGCTCCCTGCCACTTCCTTCCTGCCCCCTGCCCGCTGCCTCCTGCAACTCCCTCCCCTTCATGTGGCCCCTTGTCTGGAGGTCTGGCCAGACCCTCGGGGCTTCCCTTGGGCAGTTGACTGTGCCTATGAAGGGTGGGTCACAGGGAGCAGAGTGACCAAACTGCAGAGGCTATGGGAAGCACTTGACGTTGAAGGGCAAGACACAGCCATTTGCCGGTCCAGTGCGCCCACCCCACATAGCTAGTGCGTGACCATGGGGGGATGGTCACCTCTTGCTCAGGGCCATCCCTCCTGCTTCGCCTGGGACTTGCTCGCCTACAGTCCTCTCGCCCTCCCGCTCTTGCTCCCATTGGCCACTCCACCTCGATGCTCCCACGTGAGAGAATGGCTGTCACAGTCAAGCAGAGGGAGTTCAGATCCTAGTTCTACCATTTACCTCTGAGTGATCTTGGGTAAGGCGCTTGACCCCTCTGAAGTTCAGTTCCCTCCCCCGTGAAATGGGGGCAATAATAGTGCCTACTTCACAGTGAGGCCTGTCACCTGGAGAACGAGGGTAACAACAGAGCCTCCGTCCTGGGAGCATGTGCGGATGGGCGCTAAGGAGAGAAAGAGACTCTCCGTAGGTGTGCTTGCTGGCCCCATTCCTCATCTGCAACATGGGGCCCATGCTCAGACGGCCCGCCCCAGGTTGGTGTACAAGATAAATGTGCATGAAGCACAACGGTGGCGGGTTCGTGGCCATGCTTGCTGCATGTGATTTGGTGTCATGACAGCAACTACGATTTTACTACTATAATAAGTGGAGACCAGACCCATCATTGTGCATTAGCAGGAGCGCATTCCCTTCTCACTTCACCCTGTTAGTGTCCTCTTGGTGACCAGCGTCAAACCCTAGATTAGGTAGGAGACTGGAAAGAGGTGGGGCTCGGGGAAAGGCCAGGAACTCCAGAGCGCAAGTGGAGGCAGCAGCTGGGGAGGAGAGAGGCCAGCGCCAGCTCTGCCCAGGCCTATCAGAGCCCAGATCAGCGGGGGCAGGAAGCCTACCACAGCTCAGTGCTTCATGGAAAATAGCCCCCTTCTCCACCCAGCTCATGGGGCCACTGGCCTTGTGACTCAGGTGGACTCAGTTTCCTCTACTGTCTCCTGAAGATGCTAGACCACTTCAAGAGCCCTGCCAGCACCCCCATTCTGGCAGCCCTTCACTCAGGCTCCTAGGCTTGTCCATTCTCCTGCGAGAGGCCCCTAGAAAAATCGCATCCAGACCCTCTCTGGGGGCAGGTGGGGCCACCCCAAGCCTCCCCTTCCAGGGGAACCGAAGCTGGCACAAGGTGGTCTAATGAGGGTGGGTACCCAGGCCAAGATGCCAGGGCCCTCCATGTGGGCCTTCTGGAGGAGAGCAATGCACCTCTTGGAGGAGGGTCTTTGGGAGGCTGTGTTGAGGGCCCCTGGGATGCTTCACTGGGCAACAGGCATGCCCATAAAAATACCGTGGCCACCAGGGCTGCAATCTGCCATCTGGGCCCTAGGCCTTCCTTGCCCTGAGGCTGCGGCCAGCTGGCTGGCTCCGGAATTCTTGCCCCCCTCCATCTCACCTCCCCTCGGAGGTCACGGCCATGAGCCTAGGAGGGGACGCTGGGGAGGTGCTCCCTCCTGACCGACGTTTACCGTGCAGGGCTATGGGGGAGACTGGGAGAGCGGGGCCAGCGGGATGGGGCCAGCGGGATAGGTCGGAGGAGGCCAATCTCCAGGACAAAGAAATACGACACCTGGCTGGAGGAGGGGGATTGGAGGAATAACTGGGAGTTGGGGGTGGCAGCTCGCGGGACACCCTCTCAACGACCCTCTCATCCCTGGGCTCAGCTCTCGCCCCGCCGCCCGCCCGGGCTCTGGGGTGTGCAGGATCCCGCGCTCCGCTGCGCCTCCCCCAGGGCTGGGGATCGAGGCCCGCGCGACCCTCCCGAAGGACCCGGACCGGGCGCCAGGGAGGGGAGGCATTCGGGGACGGGCTCAGGGACGGGGGAGTCCTGCTCTGGGTGTCGCGGGCGCCGGAGGGGGCGACCAAACCCACGACACCAGGGCGCGGCCCGGACCGCGTTGCAGATGGGTGCCCATCGTTGGCCGGCGCCCTAGAGGGCCAGGCGGGGACTGGGGGAGAAGCTGTTTCCCCACCCGACTCCTCTCCACGGCCGGCCCCAGGCCCGCGGGAGCACTCCCGCCCGCGGTTGCCGCTCCGAGCCTCCACGGCGGCGGGGGCTCCCCAGTGGTTGGGCTGGGGACACTCCCGGGCCGGGAACCTCCGGCTGCGGGCGGGGGTCCCACTGAGCTCCTGGAGCGGACCACCGGGGCGGTGCCCAACCCGCACCCGGCGCGGCGGCCAGGATCGGCAGGGGCTAGGGGGTAGGGCGCGGCGGGGCGGGGCCGGCGGCCGCGAGGTGATCTCACTGCTCCCTCCTCCGCCTCTCTCCGCTCCCCTCCCCCTCCCCTCCGCGCCCGCCCTCCCCGCCCCGCCCCGCCACCGCCGCCGCCGCTGCAGCAGCACCGCAGACGCACTCGGGCGGCGGGTCCGAGGCCGGCGTGCGCGGAGACTGGGCGGGCAGCTAGAGCAGCGGCCGCAGCGCAGGTAAGGCGGGCTGGCCGGCCCTGGCGCCCCGGCTGTGGCGGCGACCCCTTGCGCCTCCTCCCCAGCCCTGCCCCGGGCGGCAGACCGGACAGCGCAGCCCGGTCCAGCCCGCGGTCACCGGCGTTGCGGCCGGAGCCCCACTCATGCTGGGCTCCAGGCTCGGGGCACCGCGGACGGGAGCGGGGTGGGGAAGGAGGCCAGGCGCCTGCTGCAGCCTGATAGGTAAGGGGTACCCGGGCGGCACCCTAAATGCTGACCTGGGGAGGGGCACCGGGGGGTCAGGCAGGGTCTGCGCGGGCGAGTGGGGGCTGAAGTCGGCGTGTCCCTGTGCGTGTGTGCGTGTGCGAGAAAGAGAGATGGGGCCCAGTGCTCCAGGGTCGACAGCCTTGGGGTGTGGCCCTGGGCGTGGCTGCCCCTCTTCCCTAGTGGGGAGCCCTGTTTGGCTGAAAACCCGGCCGCCAGCGTGGGGGGTGGCGATTGGGCTAAGCCGCCCCTGCAATGGGGGAAGGGGAGGGACCAGGGCTGGGCGCTGCCTGTCCCCCCACCTCTAGGTTAGGGGGGCTTTGTTCTCCCCCTTCTTTCCACACCCCAGCCTGGGCTCCACGGGAGCTCCCCTCAAAGCCTGCGGCAGAACCAGAGTCCTCTCTCTGGAGGCGCCGGGTGCATCTGGAGCCTGTTTTCAGGGGCTCTGTGGCCAATGAAGGGTGCACTGGGTGAACTCGGTTTGGGCACCCACTGATGTGCCTCCTGTGCACATGGGTGTCGAATGTGGGTCTATCAGGTAGGGGTGAGGGAGGGAGGGCTTCATTGGCTCAGGGCTAGGGACTTCTGAAAAGCAAGATGTCTGGGGCCCTGTCCCTGCCTGCTGCAAGGTCTTTTGCCCATTGCCATGTCTCCTATCTCTGTTCAGTTATGGGAGGGGTCTGTGATTCCATTCCCTCCTTTCTAGGTTAGATTTTTGGGGTCTCTTGGTTGGCAGGGATTGCAAAGAACACTTAGTACAGCCCGCTGCTCCCAACAGGGTATCTGGACCCCTGCCCATCCCTGCCTATCTCAGCGGGGCAGGCCTAGGGCCATCGCCCCAAGGAGTGGGGACCTGGCACCCCCCTCCCCCATTAGGTAGATGCCCTGCTCCTGGGTGACGCCACCTGGAGGGCAGGGGCTTCTGGGCAGTCCCGTGCCATCTCTGCTGACTCATGTGGTCCTGATGGTGAATAAGCCCAGCCAGCCCTTCTTCCCTGGAACTGCTGCCAAGCCCCATCTTTCTTGTCCCCTGCGAGGTGGCTGGGGCAGGCAGTGGGACTCTGCCTGGCCTGGCCTCTCACCTGGCACAGCACCCGCCCATGCAGCATCCGCATGTGCGTACCTGCGAGATCTTGGGCCTTTGGGGACTTGACTGTGGCCACTTGGGGAGTTCGAGTTCGTAGCAGGGCTGGGATGGGTGGGACTGGGACGGGGACCTCCCCACCTCCCTGGCTCCTGGCCATTTCTCTTTGCTGCACTCCAGTGCCTCTCTGCCTCTCCATATTTATTTATGTTTGTGTATGTGTAATCCCAAAAGTAACACATCTTACTGTGTGTGTAGTACACCTGAAATATACAGGAAAGAACAAAAGAAATTAAGAGTCTGGTGATCTGATCACGGAGAGGGAAACCCCTGCTCAGCAGCCGCCATCTCCTGAAAGGCCCCTCCCCCAGTTCCCTGCTCAGCACCAGGACAGTCAGCACCTGGAGGCAGGGTCCCCTGCATAGGGGCTCAGCAGCCCGTGGGCAGTCATTTGCAGGTGGCTGCTCACGGCCAGTGCCCGTTTGGGCTAGGCTCCAGCTGCCCATGGAAGAACCAATAACAAACTGGACCAACCCTGTCCTTGACCGCATGGAGTGTGGGCTCATTTTCTTTCTATTTTATTTTCTCGTGGTTCTCTGAAGGGAAAAGGGAAGCAGAGTCAGTGAGGAGGGGCCTGGTCCATGGGCTCCTCCGGTGCACAGGGTGCCTGGGCTGTGCCCCCAGTTGGCACAGGTCCACAGGTCCACACTGGGGTGTGGTGTCTTCTATGGCACGCACTTGGCCAAGGCTGGCTGGCAAGGGGCAAGGAGGCAGCCCCATGTGCCATATTGGCCATTCCCCAGCCCAGTGGCTTGGGACACAGTCAGCTGTGCAATGAGGGGCAGACTCACTGATCTCCAAGGTCCCTTTCAAGGCAAATGGTCCCTGGTACCACTTGAAATGGCTGCAACTGGGCACTCGTCTGGGCATGAGGGTGATGTGGCCTTGCAGAGTGACCCAGCCCAGCCACTCCAGTCACTCATCACCGCCTGTGGTGCTGGACCAGGCTCCAGGAGGGCATGTTCCAGAGGAGGGCATGGAGTCGATGTGAGGTCCTGTGCAGGGGCCTGCCAGGATGGGGGCACACGGGGGTGCCAGCCCATCCCCTGCTCTGCAGGGTAAGTAGGGGCCCCGCCCTGTGCTTTAGACACTTGCTCTAGGGTCCCATAGACTGTTGTCTTTGCGGTGCCCCTGCTGCTATGACTGGGAAGGCTGGGGTTAGATCCTGGGGCGGGGCCCTCTGGAATGGCCCTCAGCAGCCCCCACCCCCAAAAGCTTTCTGTCTCCCCCTTGCTCTGATTGGCCCATCCTAGACACCCCCTTCTCCTGCTTCTTCCCCCTTGCCCTCTCCTCGGCAGCCTCCCAGTTCTCCCTATCCCCCAGACCATCCCTTTCCCCTTCCTGCTCAGTGGAGCTTGTGGGGTGGGGGCGGTGCACGCCCCTCCTGCCCTCCCTGGGCCTTGGCCCACTGCTCCAGCTCCACTTGCTTTTGTCTGTCTTCCATCTCTCTGCTCCTGTCCCCACCTCCCCAAGGCTGCCCCTGCCTCCCCCTGACAGCTTGAGGTTGTGCCCCATTCAGCAGCCACTCAGCGCACTCATCTGAGCTCCAGGCCTTTGGGTTGGGCCCAGACCCCCCGTGGGGGCCTTGTCCAACCTGGAGGGTGGATGGGGGTGCCTGGTGGCCGCCAGGCAGATGAGCAGTGGTGGAGGTCGCAGGCTTCCTAAAGGCTGCCATTGGAGAGAGAGGGAAGAGCGGGCCAGGGTGGGAGGCCCTTCGCAGGAGGGTCTGCAGCTTTTCTTTGTCCAGGGCCCCTACCCAAGGCCTCAGGAGCTTGCCTTGGACCTTCTGTGTTCCCTCCAGGTTGGAAAGCTGCAGAGGGAGTGCCTAGCCACTGTCTCACCGCTCAGCAGCTCCTGCCGGGCTCTGGCCCCTAAACCTAGCAGGGGCATGGTGTGGACCAGGAATCCGGTGGGGCGGGAGGGTGCCAGCATCCTGGGCTTTATGCACTTGGCCAAGGGAGACTTCTGAGCCCCTCCTACTCAATGTCAGTCTGAGGGTGGAGCTTGAAGGGGACTGAGTCCTCAGGCGCCCGCTCCCTCTCTACCACTCTGGTCTAAAGGATCCAGTGTCAGGCAGGTGTGGGGACAGGGCAGCCCCAGTCTGGACGTTTGCGTGGGATAGTTGGGTTGCTGGGGGGACTTTGAGTGTGGGTGTGTGTGGCTTCTAGTATTCTTATTTGCATATGTGGAGCTCATATATCTGGTTGCATGTGTGTATTTGCATGTGTGTGTGTAACGTCCAGTATTCCTGTTCGCCTGGGTGAAAGTCATGTGTGTGGTTGCATGTATACATCCGTGTGTGTGTCCACGAGAGAGCGCGCACACAGACTTCTTCACGTGCCCCAACAGGGCCTGTGCTGGGAAGGGGTGTGGCTGAGGGTGGTGGCTGCAGTGGCTGGATGCAGAGCTATGCGGAGGACAGAGCCTCTGGCCAACCCAGGCTTGTGGCTTCAGTGGAGGGGGGTGTTCCCTTTGGCCCCCTCCCCCAGCTGTCTGCTTCATGCCTAAGGAATGCTGAGGCCCTAGGGAAGACAGAGGCTCCATTGTCCACCCCCAGGCTTCCTGTGCCCCCCTCTGCCCTTTAACCCTTTGGGAGTGGGGAGCCTGAGGGGGCCTGTGGGGCCTGGTAGCATCTGAGCTGTTTCCAGGCCCCCTACCCCAACACCAACACACTTGGGCCAGGTGGCCCAGGCCTGCTGGTCTAAGCAGCAAACCCCAAGGCTCAGGCCAGGGCCCAGCTCCCTCCCTCTCTCCACTGCCTACCTGTTCTGTAGTCCCATAGCCCCAGGGACCCCCCAACCTGATGCACATTGTCCCTGAAGCCCCCTCTAGGGCTCTGGTCCTGAGGAGGCCTGGCGCCTGGGATGGGCCCTATTACTGCCTCATTTCTCTGGCTTTCTAGGGGTCTGGGAGCCGGAGCCTTGGCCCCTGCTCCACCGGGCAGCCAGTGAGCCCTTCTCCTGCCGGGCTACAGTCTCTCCTTCAGCTAAGTTCTGACTGGAGAGAGGAGCCTTCCAGGCAGCTGAAGCCTCTGTGTTGCAAGAAAGGGGTCAGAGTGCACCAAGATTCTGGATTCCGGATAGCAAGGGTGGGGGGGCAAGAGACCCGGCATGTGCCCAAGCCCAGCAGGGAAAGGAGTTTGCCTTCTCTTGGACTAAGTACTTGGATTGGGGGGAGCATCACGTAAAGTCCCACAGAGCCTCAGGCCGTGGGGACCCTAGCCGGATGAGACGGTTTGTTAGGGGTCAGGTTCCTGCTCTGTGCTGAGATATGATGTTGGTCACATCCTGCTTCTGCGTGGCCTCCCTCCCAAGAGTTTGCTCCCTGCCCCCATGTTTGTCTGCCATCTGCCTGGCAAACAGGCCCTTCCCCAGGGCACAATGGTCCCTGGTCCCCTGGGAACCCAAGCAGGCACACATGTCCGGATGCCAGAGTCTCAGAGAGGCCAGCTGACCCCAGAGTTGACTTTGGCAGCTTTGGGAGCCTCCACCCCATCTAGAACGCCACCCCTGGTGAGTGCCAGCGCCAGCTCTTTGACCTTGGACACAGTCCTCTGAGCCTCAGTTTCCTCCTCTGTAAAATAGGAATAATGATGGCTAGCACCTCCTTCATGGGGGAATGCTAAGGATTACACAGTCGATGTCTGTAAGTGTGTTTTGAAGAGTTCCGGTGTGTGGTCAGTGTGACCCACGAGTTTATTTAACAGTGAGCGCAGCTGACTGAGATCCTGGGGTGGAGCCGGGCTGGCTGAAGGTGAGAATTGTGACCATCCTCCCTGCTCCCCCACAAAAGGTTAAGCTCTGTCCTTTTCTTCCCCATCTTTTAAGGAGAATGGTCCCTTACAGGTAAGCTGTAGTTGCCTTGGAGACCGAAGCCTCATGCTGCTGAGGGGCTGAGGTGCACTCTCTGGAGGTCCCCCCATTAGGGAGGGGTGAGGTGGGCAGTGCAGAGGACTATGCAGTAGTCCTTTAAGACTTGTGGTTCCCCAGGTACCTGTGGGGGCTCCCTGGAACAGCATCTTTGTCGTATTATCTAAATAAGCCAGTAGGATACAGCAAGCCTTCCCCCACCTCTGCTAGCCAGGGAGTTGGGCTCCATCACCATAGAAACCCGCCTGCCACAGCCTGGGGGGCAGGGCGATGGGGAGCCTTAAAGGGACACAGTGTCTGGGGTGTAGGTGACACCCACACCCTCATATACACACAGCCCCCCAGCCTACAAGTGCATGGACCTGGCACCCGCACTTTGACCCTCCCATGTACCTGGGTGCTGAGCCCCCACCTGCAACCCCACTCTGGCCTCCCGATTAGCAGGCGCTGCCATCCGCAGTGGATGGGCAGGAGGGCCAGGAGATCTTTTGCTTCTCTCTTGAAGGGCCTCCTGTTGCTTGTCCTTTGAGAAGAACCCAGGCAGAGCCCGGGAGCCGCAGGAGTGTGTGCAGTGTGCATGCTCAGGGTGCTCTTGGACATTCAGGGAGGGAAGTAGCCACCCAGGTCTCAGCCAGGCTCCACCACCTCCCTGCCCTCCCTGGCAACCTGTTTCTGGTCAGACAATGGTCAGACAATGCTGGTGCAGAGGAGAGGAGAGGACTCCCTGTGGGGCCCAGGGGCAGCTCAAGGGGCAGGGGTGGGGCTCCTCTGTAGGCCAGGTGGCCTGCCCTCATCTCCCTGGCCTTGTCCCCTCAGTGCCCTGTCTCCCTGCCCGTCCAGTGCAGTGTGTGAGGCCCTCACACCTGGTCAGCGTGGGTTTGGAGCTGGACCCACTCAGGAGCAGCCCCACCTCTGTCCTGCACCCCTCAGCACAGCGGCCAGTGTACACAGTGCATGTGCACGCACGCACATGGGCACACATGCTCTCTGTGGTGCCTACTCTGTGCTAGTAGCAACCTTGGAAGGATCCACTGCGATTCCCTGGGTGTTTGTCCTTCCCCCATCCCTCCCTGCCGCAGGGACCTCCACCTGTTCCCTGGCATGGCATGGGGCAGCCAGCAGCAGGTCATTCATCTTGTCTTATGGTTGTCCTCTTACCCCAGTGCCACAAGTGGGTGGGGCCTTGCCGCTGTCACCGAGGGCTTTGTTGGTGTCTCTGGCTCCAGCTCACAGCTGCTCCACCTCTGTATGTCTCTCCGCCCTCCTCTCAGTCCGGCCTGACCTCTAAGCCTGGGAAGCCCCCCACCGACCCAGGCTCCTCTTCCCTACTCCCCCGCCCCTTGCCTGGCACACCCCCCAGGGACAAGGATGTTGTTGCGCAGGCAGCCTGCACGCACGCGCACCCGCCCACCCCCGCCCCTCACTCTTCTCGCTCTTTCTGCCATTTCTCAGCTGTGCTTTCTGTGGCTGGCTCTCAGCCTTTGTACTCCTTTTCCTCTTGTCTCCCTTTCCAGCCACCTGGGGCTCTGTTTCTGGATTTCTCAAGCTCCCTAACAGTTTCCATCTTGGTTATCACGGTCTTCCAATGCCTGTCTTTGTCTCCTGTTCCCAGCCCCACTTCTCAGCCTCCCCTGCTCCCTCCTGCCTCTTTCTCGCTCTGTCTGTCACCCCTTGGCAGACCGGCCTTGGCTCCGTCTGTGGAGCTCTCCCCGTCTCTGTTTCCTTGCCCTCCGTGGCACTGATGGGAGTAGGCGCCTGCTGAGATGACAACCTTAGCGCTTGCTCTGTAATTGCTTGAGGAATGGGGCAGATCAGAGACCCCGCGGCAGTGGGAGGGGAAGAGCCAGAGCCCTCTCCCGGCTGTCGGGCCTGTCACCTTCTGGGTCCTTTCTGCCTATCTCTGAGTGCCCAGGGTGGTGGCTGGCTGGGTAGCAAGTACCAGGGGACCAAAGAGAGGTTTGATGTGAGGCTGTGGGGAGTGAAGCTGGGGCTGGGATGGGGGAGAGAATGGGGACCAGAGGGTCAGGGATATTGTATGTACCCTGTGTGTACTGCCTGGGTATACATGCCAAACAGCATTCCGGGAATCTTGATTTGGAGGACAAATAGAGGAACTGGCATGGCAGAAACCACCGTTTCAATAGAGCACCGGAGCCCCCCCAGGCAGGAGGGTCCTTTTTTGAGCTTCCCCTTTGCTCCAGTCTTCCTCCCCTCCCCCTCCTAAGACCAGTGCTCAAAGCTTCCAAGGCTGCTGTTTGATCGCCTGCTCTCTGATCTGAGTCCCCCACTGCTTCCTACAGGCCTTGAAGTTGAGGCCACTGCCGCCTGGGGCCTGCCCTGATCGAACTGGCTTTGTTGAGGAAGGTGGGGGCAGAGCAGATCCACTGTGGCTCCTCCCTTCTGGGCCCCAGCTCACCTCTTGCAACCATTTGCTACTTCCTACCCTCCAGGCTGGTCATGCTGACCCTCCCTGTGCCTCCCCACCCCTCTCTCCAGCTTTGGGTGGGGGCCTCTGAGAGCTCCACGCTGACTGCTGCTCTCCGCCACGTGATCTGCTGCAGTCCCCACTCTGCTTGGTCACTCCCTCACAAAATTAATTTGTGGCTCCTGATAGAACGCAGGTGCGTTAGCACAGCACACCAGGCTTCTCTGCCCAGCCTTCAGCGTTCTGTGTGAGGCTTGGTCCCCCTGTGATAAGGTCCTAGCTGGGCACAGGGGGCATACCCGGTATGGATGGAGTGGGGGCATCTGGTCTGGGGCTCCAGCCTCCATGGTCTTGGTCACCCACCAGTGCCCCTTCTTGCCTCTCCTGCACCTCGACCCCTTGCCTCTTTCTCATGCCCTTTCCCTTTTGGAATCCATGTGGTCTGTCTAATTGGGAGTCTGTTTCTTCTTGTCATTGTCAGGGGAGTCCCCTCTCCAGGACCCTCATTCTTTGAGGCCCCCTTGCACACAGGTGGGCCGTGGGCATTGCTGGTGTTGCTTGGGCTTGGGGTGGACACAGATAGCAGTTGACTCAGA